AACTTAAAACGGTTTAAAAATTGTTGAAATGTGTAAATATTGAAATGTGAAAAGAAATGAGTCATAAACTAACTGACAAATATGTTTAAGTAAGAGAGCGATCGAGATTAGATGAAAGAACGTCATTCATAGAAGTCAATAAAAGGATAAAGGTAAGGAAAGGCAGGTGAAAAGGACGAAATGATCAGACGTTAATAATCCAGCAAGACTGATCCATCCTCAAAAGTAGTTAAACATAATTATGCAAAAGATAATTGTTCAAGCGATGTGATCGACTCATCTTCTAGGCCTTTTACTCATGCGACTGCTTGCTTTAAACATTCTTGTATGCCTGCAATCAGGAAATCTCCGTCTTCCTCTATTCAGTTCCTTTCCATTTCACTTAACAAATAATTATGTTCCACAACACTTATTCCTTAGGTCAGAGTAAAATATTTGATGAAGAGGCCTGAGATAAGGAAAGGCCAAGTTACTATGACCTTACTTTCTTTCATCAGCTACTCTAATCATTTATAATTACAGCTATTATCGTTTTACTTCAATGTCTTGGCTAATTCTTTGCATATTTTCAAAAACTAACTAATTCAGTAATCAATTTTTAAAATTATTCCAAGATCTATTTAGTTTACTCGATTTTGAAATAGCACCAACTTTGAAAAGAGTGGGAAATATGCATTGATAACAAAATTAATTTATTTGTTGGTGACGTAAAAGTTTTTCGAGTGAATTTAATTACTGTCATACGGAAATAAAAGGAAAAGTCAAACAGATATTGCAGTTGATATTTCGTCATTTTTGCGGATCCAGCAATGAGATGGCCACTATTGCAAAAATTTTTGGAAAATCGAAGGTTGTCTACAAACACCTTAGATTCTTAGGCCTGTTCCAATCCAAATACTATCAGGCCTAATCTTATTTAACTTAAAAGAATGAACGACATTTGACCTGCTAGAACGAGTGTTTTCAACGTGATGTGGTAGTAAATATGATCAAACAAGGTAATATGTATGACAAATTTGCATTGATATTTCGAAATGGTATAAACAATTAAAACATTTGACTGTCTAGAAATTAAAAATTTCAAATTAGCAGTGACGATGAAATCGAACAATATGAAAGAACTGTATAAAAGAATTAAAGCTTATTTTGTTTTATATGAGGTAATTAATTTAGCTATAGTTAAGATAATCAAAAGGCATTCTATATCACGAAGAAGTTGTTATCCAGAATAGATACCATTTGATGTGATTTAATCTGGCTAAAGTCGGGACAAACTTTTGTATTAACAAAATAAGTTTTCAAATGGGAAATTCATGCGACACCACCGCCTGGTGGTAAAGTGAGGAAAAAATATTCATTGACTGGAAAGAACTCCCTTGGATTTCATTTCTTACGATAGCAGTTAGCTGGTTGCATTATCAAGTAAGTCTTAGCTTTGCTCTAAGCTCTATCATCAAGAGATGATAACTGATTATAATAATACACACAGCGGTGGAACAGATTCAAACTGTCTTTAAAATGAGAAAATAATCAATGAACGAATGAATGAATTAAGAAGCAGCTGTTTTAAGAAGCAATTAGCAATAAATTTCCTTTTCTTTGAAGCAGAAGAGGTGAATTTCTGAAACTATGCGAAATTTTTTTGTTGCATTTAAAAATAAAAATTATTTGAAGCAAATTTTGTTAATGTTGTATTCAAATGGATGAAATTGCCGTAAAACATGCCAAATCATGCCATTTTATATTCCATTCAAATTGTTTTTTAAATACCATTTAAAAATTTAAATTATTCAAACACCTTTTGAATTAGAGTTTGATGATGATTTCATTACATCAATTTTTTTTTCTTTGTTACATCTTCACATTTTACATCTTCTTTAACATCTCTTTCTTTTTTACATCTTTTTATACCAAATATCTGTGCTTGCTATTAGCATACAACCCATTCCTGAAAGGAAGACAGAGTAAGGAATGTTTGCTTCCCTTTTTATGCTCCACCAATCAGTATTGTATTCAACCTTCAAATTACCGGACGATGAAGGTCTCCGCTCCTCGATAGTAATTCAAGGAAGAAATACGAAGATTCTAGAAATATTTCTTGCCGGCCTTTAAGGATGCTTTTTTTTTGTTCAATGATACTGCCTTTTAATTAAAAAGGGATTGGATGTGTTACTTTCTGAACTCAACCGTATTTTGTTTTAAGAATTTTTGTTTTAAGAACAGGTAACAAGTTGTGATATAGGATGGCTGAGATATGAACTTTTGAAGATTGTTTGGAAATTATAAATAAAGGTTTAATTGGATGTGAAAGAGAGTGCTGCAAAGTATGGTCAACAGATCTAAAGTAAAGCTTCAAATCATAGCAGTCTGATAAAAGTACAAAAGTATTTCGACGAGAAAGGAAGCGCACTTTCTGCGTTCAGATGTTTTGAAGAAGTGATCAGAACTAATCGATGGAAATCAGAAGAAACTATCTCAAGAACACAATGAGATTGCTCATTTACGAAAGCTATGTCAAAGCATAGGCCTAGTAACGCTGACATTTATCAATGCTCTTTTCTTTAGTGTAATTATCTAATGACAGTCCTCTATCGATCGAATGCATTAACTATTTATTAAGAAAATGTAAAGCAAAACGATGGTACTTTCGCATCCATTTGATGACAATTGCTTTCATGGCTTCACTATGTGAAATTTATCGACATGTCACGTGTGAATGTCGAGTGAGTTTTGAGGCGAGTTGTAAGGGTCAAAGTGCCAAAATTGAGAAAATAATCTGAATGGGCTATCTTTGGCAACGATAACATAATCAGAAAGGAGTGCATACATGCATGCAATGTGCACGTTTCGCCGCAAAAAGATTAATGTAAGAGTGTATGCAACATGACCTGTCTCAAGAAGTTTAAATTTTAATTTGGAGTAAGAAAGGAGCAAGTTTGAGCAGTTTTAACAAAGTAAACAACAAAATACTGATAGACAATTCATCCGAAAGAAGAACGTGGACGTCAAAGTCTTCAATTCAACGATATTAAATAATGATGAAGGGTGACTTTTCTCCAGAAAGGTCAATTAGAATATTTCATATCAGATACAACGCAAGCAGAATGCATACAATTTTCTAGTAGCACAGCCGGACTCATCGTGATAAACATATGGATCACCGACTAGAGCATATTCCCCCGCTCTTACATAGTGTTTCACGCGGAATAATACAGATATCCTGCAAGGAAACTCTCAATTAGCAAATTAATACCACATTGATAATTTCGGAATTTAAGATTATAGAAATCCGGATTGCATCTATAAGTGCTCAGGTACACTTCAAATTCTCTAGTTTTTAACTACTTTCCATGTGTTTTCTAAAAAAGGGAAAGTATTCCACTTAATGAAATGAATTTCTCATAAGACATACTTTTACTTAAATATAATATAGATTACAATTGCTTAGAAACGACACAAACCTGCGATGTGTTGAATTCTGAGTAATAATAGGCACAGTTACATTTATCTCAAAATAAATTATTTCCAGTTCTGCCTGTTTGCTTCGAATTTTTGGCCAGCTAAGTAAGTTAAAATTTGAATGAATGCAAAGGAGTTGTACTCAAATGTCGTCCATAATATGATCCATTAATGATAGCTGCTATGATTCACATGTTGAAAACCCATAAAGCATCTCGAGGAACACTTTATACTACAACATTTCCCAGCCACTTATTTTCACAAAAAGAAAAGAAAAAAAACTCCACTCAGCCTGATCGCGCAATCCTTGTCTGACCATTTGATTAATAGCGTACACGTCAACCTTTTCCGAAAGTATTTGCAGATGTTCAACATCAAGACAATTGCTATTCGCAATAGTATTTCTTGCCAGCTTTATCAAATTCTTAAATTCCGTTGAAGTACTGCAAAAAAAGGAAGCAGTGGTTGAATCTGAAGTAACAAAAGTCCCTATGTCACCAAGTAGCCTTCTTATGTTATTTTAGTATTAGCCAATCATCAATAGTCCACATTTAAATATTTTTGAATCTTTTTAAAAAGATTTTTGGAATGTTTTGGAAGATTTCAGTTTTTCCATGGCATAAATGTTGTTGACAAGTGTGAGAAAAAATCTAAAAATTATAGGAAAAAGGAAAGGATATCTCGAAATATTAAGGTACCAAAACCCGCCTGTTTAGCCTATGTAAATTTCGTCGTTCCATGCATAGGCAGAAATTCTGCGGAATGCCAGCATCCTCGCAAGTTCGATCTTTGCTTATCACTTCATCCATTAAACTGACACCTCTACCTAAGCATTCACTTTTTAAAATCATATTTACCTTTCCTTTAAAATAAATCCTGTTCACAATTTAGTTTCACTATATATTTTTGACCAGCCCTTCAAAATTTAGAAAAGAGTTTGAAAAAATTGAAGAGAGAATAACCTGGTTTATGAAGGAACTAAATTTATTCAATATCTTTCCAATTACTGGAGAAATTACCCTTTCGGTCGTAATAGGATCGATTTCGTCGAAATTCTGCCCTCGAGATATCCTTTAGTGTTTGATGTATGTCAAAATTACTCGTTAATCTAAATTTTAAAGATATTTAACGAATAAACTTCTGTAAAATGACTGTTTTAAATTAAAAACTCTCATTCGGAAATCTTCCATAACTGTGTGAGGCATTATTGATATTGAAGTGATCCTGATCTTCTCTAGACGAGATTGAAAAATCTTCAAAAGGGAATAGAAGTTCTACATTTTTCAAGTAAGTCAGAATAAAAAAAGACACCAATAGCAACCACGTTGATCTTTTTTCTTTTTGTTGAAGGATGAGCAAAATTAATGAATGAAATATTAGCCTGTTGAACTTTAACCTATTTTGTGTGGTTATTTAGCTATTGTGGAATTTATGAATTGGGTTGGGTGAATTCAAACTGCATTGATAAGAAGATCGGTATCAAGCTTTATACCGGCAATAACATCTGTGTAGAATGCCAGCCAGAAGCGCAACTGTATGGTAATACTAACAAGTAAGTCATTTATTTTCTTGGCAATTCTCTACTCACTTCATATTTCGATTATCGTATTTCATTCTTCATAG